TGGCGTGATATTAAGAGTTCAAAAATGTATCCTTTTCGATAAAATAAAATTATAAAAAATGACATGGGAAGAAAAAATATGATTATTATGTTTGAAAAAGACAAACAATTTAAGTAGCCATTTAAAGAGTAATTTTTTTCGAATGCACATATTTCATAATATGCGGGTTAGTATTACATAGTAGTAAGGAGAATAAAAAGTCACATCTGGAATTCACAACTACACGATCATGGGACACATGATGCGAAAAGTGACATCACATTCTAGCCAATATTTCACACTCTCCTAATAAATGATAAATTAGTACCAATCAGATCAAAAAAATATGAATACAAAAATAGCGATGTACAATCCAGACTGCTAATTAGTAAATATTTCACAAAAGATTATTAGCTAATAAAATCACTGTTTATAATTCTGATTGAAGTCTAAAATGACGCACGTTATAATCTTGTTTTAATCGGCTAACATTGCAAACTTCTCTGCTCAGTAAATTATAACAATGTCTAATTGAAAGCAAACTTTGGAGCTTTCCGTCAATCGTGCGATGTCAATACTGGGGTTGCTAATGCAAATAATATTTATTAAGCTATTAATTCTCGAAACACTTTCTGACTACTCGACAGAAATGGAAACTTGATTAATTCGATAGAGTTGAATGTGAAGTGTCACTACCTGCCTGGGTAGCTTGATTATAAACAAACTATCATAGTAGGTTGCCATGGCAACTAAACAGAAAGTTGCATATCTACTGATTAATCAATAGTTAATTCAATCACAATCACACTGTGTTATTTTTTATGATTATAAATGCACCAGTGAAGTTAATGGAAAACCTTTTTTCAATAAGGCGAAGGTATCGTGACGATAATTATGTCGCCCAATCCTTTCAGTAGTTTATATATTTCACTTATGCTATCAAAAGCAACCAATGCCATTTTTACAATGGTGCCAGGCCTCTTCCCCAATAATCCATTTCAACTGTGCTTTCTGATTCTGCTAAAATTTGCACACATAACTCGAAGACAAGTCTGGGTCCCAGATTCTATTTGGAATCTGGGCACCATTAACTGTGAGGAACATTATTTGTATGGGGAATGCATTTATTTCCATTTAGTCTTTTTATGTTCAATTTTTACACATTTAAGAACTTTAATTGCAACCAAGGAAGCTGACTCGGCTGACCAAAAACATACTGTATAGCTATCAAATTATTTCATAAAACGAACACTAAAGCCATGGATTTTCAAAAAGAGAAAAACATTTTTTTGATTTGGTTATAGGCACAGATATCTTTACCTAAAGCATTGTAATTTGAAAAAAACGGTGGGTTGAAATGAGATAAAGAATATAAACTTGTAAACCTGATCTATCTAACATATCCTTATATGGGTGTTAAAGAGAACGGCACAGCTAACCACACTGATTCTCTCATAACATTCACTCATCTCTGATCTGACGTAGATCATAAACATTTTTTTGTTATCAATAGACTGACATCATGTTTTAAAGCAATTTAGCGCTAATGGTCTCACGATCACTAATTACGTGTATGTAGTTTTAGCTCGTAACCTAATGGCCTGATGATCTCTCATTAAGTGTGCATGATAGGATTCACTATATGGTATGTTATGGTATGTTTCTCTAAAAAAGGTTGAAATCGATCAGAATTGGTACATATATTAATTTTCCATCAACTTGTTTCTCGATCAATCTATTCTATGATATAGGATTCCAATAAATACAATAACAGTTTCTCTACTGGGACGTGGACTAATGGACTTTATGCATACCTTGTAGATCAGGAATCAATCAAATAGTACTGAAATACTTTTCCATTACATACTAAAATTGTGCTTTTACCTTTGATCATTACACACTGGAATTGTGTTTTACCTTTGATCATTACACACTGAAATTGTGCTTTTACCTTTGATCATTACACACTGAAATTATGTTTTTACCTTTGATCATTACACACTGGACACACTGATATTGTGTTTTTACGTTTGATCATTACACACTGGAATTGTGATTTTACCTTTGATCATTACACACTGGAATTGTGCTTTTACCTTTGATCATTACACACTGGCCTTTACCTTCGATAATTATACATTGGAATTGTGTTTTTACCTTTGATCATCACACACTGAAATTGTGCTTTTACCTTTGATCATTACACACTGAAATTGTGCTTTTAACTTTGATCATTACACACTGAATATTGTGTTTTTACGTTTGAGCATCACACACTGAAATTGTGCTTTTACCTTTGATCATTACACACTAAAATTGTGCTTTTACCTTTGATCATTACACACTGGAATTGTGCTTTTACCTTTGATCATTACACACTAAAATTGTGCTTTTACCTTTGATCATTACACACTGAAATTATGTTTTTACCTTTGATCATTCCACACTGGCATTGTGTTTTTAGAGTAATAAGGTAGCAGCATAAATGTTTCAAACAGGAAATCAGAATATTCATCACTTTGTTGTTTTGACTATTTTTTCTCATATTCCCTATAATGATTATTGATGGAGATATCAATTAATATCTATTAACAACCTTTTATAAGTGAATATATAGCTGTGTATCATTTCAAGCATAGCATTATTATGTTTTATAAGCCTACTTGGAACATTATCTGTTTTCCTCTATAATTTGAGTCCCTCTCACTAACACATTTTTTGTTTCCCCTTGATTTTGATTGTTCCACATTTTCTCTGCATTGAATCATACAAAGTAATCAAGTTGTAAAACCTGTTTTAGGGTTCATGTAGGAAAGGCGTCAACTGAAGTTAACTGGTACACTGTATGTACAGAGATCGCCTAGTATTAAAAGTGGGTGATCAAAGACTCGACAAGATGCGCAAAATTCAAATATCTTGTAACGATTATTTTTAAAAGATTTATTTGTGTTTATATTACACGCTACTGGTGATTCAATAAGGTTTTGTAGGCACAAGAACACCCATATGCTTTGAAAAATATATATTACTTTGACCATTTTTCGTATACAAGATTGATTTTACGATGTAAAGATATAAATGCGATATAATATGTGCTGTTTTATTTAAAAAGCTTTAAAATATCAAAAACAATAGAAGATTTTTACTCACTTTAATTTTTTATACTTAGGTAGGGTCTTGGGCTTCCATTTGACCATGATAAAGTCCACGTTTCCTCTTAAATAACATGGAATAAATATTTTAACACAGAAATGAATTGATCGGCCTATAGCGTGAGTTTCAGCAGATGCTTTAAAGAGAAGAAAAATGGGGTTTCATGCAAAATGTATGTCCAAATTAAAATAAACATGTACATCACCGTTCATTGATTCATTCGATTAAATGGTCACTGTGTGCGTATATTTTGTTATTCTGTCTATGTTTGAATACAATATGATATGTACACTGTACACTGCTAAGAGAAAACCCTCTTGAAGCGTAACACATTATAAATGGAACAGTTTTTAAAGTCACATTTCAGTCCATTTATTTTACCCTCTGATTCCAAGGTATGAAAACTTAACACCTTGGCATCCAAGAAGATTGTCGAATTGTAATGCAAGAATTGAATAAATCATAAATAAAAATGTATGTCACTGTATCATCCATTGTCATGATTGTGGTTGTTATGGACATGGGGTCTCATAATAAACTTATTAAATCTGAATTGTACACTTTCTATTTCATTGGGGAGTTAAATCATTCTTTTGCAGCAAGGTATCAATAAGTTATAGAAAAATGTAATGACCTTCAGTAGATGCCAGTAGTCAGTTCCCAGTTTCACCACGAGGTGGCTAACTTGGGTCATATGTAAATGATAGGTATAGGGGAAAGCTGCTCTATAGTTCAATATTCAGAAGATTAATTGATCAATTTTCAACTAAGGTGTATAGGTGATTAGCTTGAAAATGTTAGAATTGTATGTTATCGAATGCAAAATAAACGCCCAGTGGGCGTTTTTAGAGAAACAAAGTGAAATAAATACTCTGCTATTCTAGACAGCGTTATGTGGATGGGCTGAGGAAAAGTTCCAGTTTAGGCTTTGGTCATATGTACATTAAAGATTTGTTTGATTTATAATTAAAACCAAATCTTTACTTGTCAAGCTCATAGTTCTTCTAATCATTCTAAATTTGCCTCTGTTTTCAATAATCTTTCTCATCTTCATCATTTCATCTTCATGATGTTCTATAAGGTGATTTATAATGTTATGAAATTTAACAGTTCGTAGTGAAGGACAATAGAAACATGTAAATCCAACCACTCTGAAATGCAAAGAACATATCATTAGAATCCACATGGTAAAATCACTCACTTGGCTGATCATAATGTTTTTTATAACATCCTCCTTACTCGATACTGAAGGGGGGTTGGAACGTCTGATATGCATGTAATGTTAAGTTTTATGTATATTAACCATAGATGATATTGGTTTTGTGGTTTTGGCAATCTAAAAACAGAAAATTTTGTGAAAAATACATTTTCGTTCGACGGGTTTTTGATTTTGCTTCTTTTATCAACTCAGTTCAGGTATTTCGGTTGATTTAATCACTGAATCCTGTTACCAAATGAATCTTGAGTCTCTTATACAGCATATGGAATACCATCTGTAGGTAAAATGACTTTAAACTGGTAAAGAGAAGACAAACAAACATACCTTTCCTCCGACATTTTGGATTTTGCGCATCTTGTCGAGTCTTTGATCACCCACTTTTAATACTAGGCGATCTCTGTACATACAGTGTGGTAGTTCAAACGAGATTTATCATTTAGGCCCAACATATACCAGTAGGCATATCATTGGGTAAATGGTCACCATGTTAGATATAATGGGCATCATTAGAGTCTGGATAAAGAAACAATAAATTCAAACTTTCAAAAAGAGCCAAAATGTTTTCTGGTCTACCCTAAAGTCAATACATGAGTACATGTAATAGTATGATGACTGGAGTTTTTATCAAATAAACATAACTTTGACTTACCCCAGATGGAATTGGTTGTTCTTCATTCTTTAGCAGGTCATCTGTACTAACGTGAACCTCGTGAACTTTTTTCCTTCTGAGCAACGATTTAACTTTGGCTTCAATTTTTTCGTTGTACTTCATGAAAATGACATAGACGAAATACCATATGAAGAGACATAAGGCTTCGTACCAATATACCATACTGTCTGTGAAGAATCCAATCAACATTGCAAGACTGATACTATAGAAGGTGACGTCACGGAACAACGGCCACCAAGTTAATTTTAAAGCCTCCTTACTGAAGATTGCACACATGCCTATGACAAAAAGAATATTGAATACTGCAGAACCTACGATTGTCCCGATTCCTACCATGCTTTCGGCGAGAAAAACCCCTATTAAAGAAGTGAATAATTCCGGAGCACTTCCACCAGCAGCCATAAAGGTGGCGCCAGCGACATCCTCTGATATGTCAAGCCTCTGGGTTATGACTCCCAAGGCAGGTACAAAGAATTCATCACAAACAATGGCTAAGGCGACAAACATGTAAAGCATTCCTATGGCGTGTAGCACAACTGCACCTGATCTAAGTTGCTCCATTGTAAATGCTCTTGGGGGATATAGGCCCCCTCCAGAATTAGATTCTGTCGTGTTCAAAAGTTTACGAAGATTTACTCCATTTTCAATACGAAATGTTCCGCCTCCATTATGGTTAGGTATATCTGCATCTTGGGTATTAGTTTGGTAAAATATGCATAGAAAACACATTACGATAACTCCAATGAGAATCATTATCCGGGGCACATATGAACGTTTTCGAACTGACCTATTAATTTGTATATACCGCTGCGTGTTCATTCCCTTTCCTTTTGTACAATCTGGCTCATCCACGCCAAACCGTAACAAGTCCCAACGAGTCCAAGTTTGACTACCCATTTTATCTGACATTTAATGTTTGTTGGAGACAACAACTCGATGACTCTATAGACCAGGTGACGTCAAATCAGCGTTTTTTAGATCCATGATTACAAACTGGAAATTCCTCCCTAGTGCATGATTTTCGAGACACTCTTGCCGCATCGAATTCACTTGTCAACCAGTATACATGTGTATCATTAATAGCTTATCATCTGGTGAATAAATGCCCGAAGTATTGGTCTCATTGATCCTTGTATCCTCTGCTCCAAATAACCTGCAAATGCAAACAAATTGTGGTCAATAATCATCAGTGCTATGTGAAAACACAATAAAGTCATTAAATGGCTAATTAATCTATAGATCCAATAGGCAATGGTCAGGGCATCATTTCCTTTTAACATATTTATATAAAGAGTGTTGGAGAACCTTGTTAATGCAACCATTCAGTTAGGAAGTAATTAGGTAAAAGTTCATGATAAGTCATGATAAATCATGACATCATGATAAACCATGACATCCTTATAAACCATGACATCTCACTTCTTCTCAGCCAGGAGATGCCACACTATTATTATAGGTTAGATTTCATGATCCTAGAGACCCCAGATTTGAAATATGTTATCTTAACTTATATTTTATAGAATTACAAGGGTCAAAAAACTTGTGAAGCTCATTATATCACCTGTGTCTATGTTAATATCTTATGGCAGAGACAATGAAATACAATGCCTTATGTAGTTTATTGAGACTAGGGGCAATAATAACTTGATAGCCATCGTGCTTGTTCCGATCAGATGAGCTGATATCAACAATAGTCTCATAATATAAGAGCGTGCATCTAGTGAAACAAAACAGAATTCAAAGTTGTCATTGCAAAATCATTTTGATGTTTCGGTATTTCTTTTTTTAAGAATTTGTAAAATTAAGTTATATTACAAACAATGAAAAGATTACCAATGTTGATTTACTTTTTAATCTCACTTAATATTCAGTTATTGATCGATCTAAAAAAATATCAAATTGGTACTCAAACTAAAGCAACCTGTCGATAACATATTTTCTTCTGTCAATATCATATTTTCTTCTGTCAATATCATATTTTCTTCTGTCAATATCATATTTCTCTATGTCAATATCATAAATATTGCTTGGTTTAAAATCAATATTTCTTCCCTCATATTGATACTGAACAACTCCTACAGATTTTTATCATTTCTAGTATTTCCTTTCAAATATACTGAAATAATATTTATGGAACCTTGCAATATTCAAAGAAAGAAGTATGTCTGGGAAATTATGGCAAATCACATAAAAGTTCATACTAAAATAACATTAAATATCATTTAGAATAATAACTTTAATTGTTGTTTTTGATTTCACTGTGATTCACAATCCACATTTTACTTTCATAAGGCAATAAAACAATTCCATCAACAAAAGCATGGCTTTCAGACATACAGGAGTCCTATATAATACAGTATTTTTCTAACACAATCCTTCCGTGCTTGAATGGTGATTCTGAGGATAAATTCATCTTTCAAAGTTGTAGTCTTCCTTTCTGACTCAAAATAATGTAATGAAATGAACTGCAATTAGTAATAAGAATAAATCCTGCACATAAATCAAATATTCTAACTAACAACTCTGTACTGAGTTACATCACATCTCATTTTTTATCAATTGATGTCTGATATTCAGGTGTAATTTGATTATTTCCTCATCAAATAAAAAACATTAAAAATCAAAAAACAACACCAACAAAAAATATAAACAAATAAAGCCAATCTATAAAATAGTAATCAACTCAAACATAAAAATCACTAAGATAATCCACACAAAACAATGTCAAAAAGCCCACCAATTACTCTGAGATAAATCATTCAAAAAAGACGATAACACCAAATACCAAATTTACTATCCATAATCACGCATTTTCAGAAAATCCAGTCCCACGATCCAGTCAAACAGTCAAGCAATTTTCTTGGAATTTTGAGGACAAGACCCACGTATGCTTAAATAATCTGAGAAATTCTACTCCAAACCTATTAGATCTGCTCTTGCATCTGTAAAAACGGTTGAGCAGTTTTCTTGGAATTTTGAGGACAAGCTTTATTTGATTCGTGTCCACATACCAGCTGCCCAGTAGCACACGATAATGACAATAAAGCACAAGATAATGACAATATGCAATTTTTCAATTAAAACCATTAATTTTATGTTTTCACACCTGAGTTAGATGAGGTGTATCATGGTAAGACAATTTGCGCTTAATGTTTTCTATGATGGACCTTGTTATAACATTACCTTCACCCATCCAATGGTCATCTAAGGTAAATCACAAATATATTAATAATAATTATTTACAATCTACTGACACGTCCAATCGTTACAAAGCTGTTTTGTGTGAATTTCCCATGTGCCGTTGATGGACTTATCGTATTAAATCTTCCCGATTATGCAAGGATTAAAGCCAACAAAAGAGCATATAATCATGAATCTAGATCAGGGAAATACAATTACCATTATTTCTTGGACCACGCTTAGAGTAAGCATTACTATAATTGATTTTGGTGCATTAGTTATTAATTCCAGCACATGGCATTGGGAATTGATTTTGGTGCACACCACTTACTAATTTTGGTGCATAACTAAATGATTTTGGCGCAATAAATTAATGTAAGAGGCACAAGGGTCTAAATATATCAGAGTCATAATTTTTCTTTTGATGTCAATTAATTTTATCATAATTAAAATAAATAATTAGACAAATATGTTTGCAATAAGTTTTTCACATCAAATATCTCTTCATGATAACTTTTTTGAACGTATAAATAATTCTGATTTCTGAATATTTCATTAGATTTGTAAACATCCTTTTATTGCCATTTTTTGAAATACAGTACAAAAAAGATAATATGCTAACTAATAAGCTTTTTGTCATAATAATGCCTGTAAAATATATCTTAAGTGATTTCCTAATGGAACAAAGTGCAATATTTGTTACAAACCAACATATTTATGATTTACATCGCTGAATCCCTTTTCATTAATTTCTGCCTGTTTTATCTTTTAGTGACAGCTCAGTTTACTGAGGATCATTAACAATTTCTATTTTGAACAACACATTACAAAATCTTGTTGAAGATGAAGTTAAGAAATGTATGTGATAGACTTAGCTACATGGGTGTACTGTGATAGAATTAGCTATTTTAGTATGTTAGTTAGCTACATAAGTATTTTAGTATTAGCTACATAAGCATGTTAGAATTAGCTACATAAATATGATAGAAATAGCTACATAAGTACAATTATGTTAGAATTAGCTCCATAAGTATGATAGAATTAGCACAATGAGTATGAAAAGACAATAAGTTTCATGAGCCTAAGCTTTTCGGCTGGAGTGAATGAATGGTGCTTTTCTACGATAGGTCAAATATTATTAGAACCATGGGATAAACTTTTATGGATAATTATATTCTGCCTACACAAAATATGGTTACGTCGCATTATGACACCACAACTGTCCAGTAAACATGATAAGAGAAACAGCAAATTATATTTCAGAGAGAAAATTATAATTTATATCTATCAAGTATGATCTTTTTTGTCTGTTCTCCATGTAATATTCTATTGAAGAACAGTATAATATATGCTTCTGTTTAAATAAACACATAGCTATCACATATTGCCAAAATTTTGATATTTTCATGAGGATATCATGCATTTATACATGCTCTTAATCTTTTATATTTAAATCACAAAAAGGAATCATTTGAAAAACAATTTTCAATTCAATGACTATATTTATATTTATTCAGCTTATTATAATTAGGTGTCCAGATAAAACTGAAACTTTAGAGCACAGAGTGCTTGAATGCCCCAAGTATGAAACAGCTTTAATTTGGCAATGAAAAATCAAGTCCCTCGTCAAATTCTAGAAGTATATCTTAATTCAGAAACAAGCGATAAAGTGAAATGGATAATAGGCGATGTGCCTAGTAATCTAGGTGGACATTATATTAGTGTCATAGTTGATAGGTTAAGCAAATTACTTCTGAAGAACATTTTCTGATTTTATCAGATTTTAATAATCCACAATGAATGTTATAAACATGATTTTAGTCATACTGGATTGCCTTTATAACATGTTAAACATAGAAATCCACAGACTGTAGACGCACCCAGCAAGAGTGCCATTGATATAAATAGTGTAGAGTCTTAATAAATAAAGAAAATAAAAATAAATAGATCTTTGTTAATAATACTTTAATAAATAAGGTATAAATGAAGCAATTTGTTACTGGTTCTTGTTGACAACATTTAATATTGTTTTTCCATACATTCTATTAAGAAAAATGCAATTCCATGAAACTATATTTCATCAGTTATAACACCCTTATCATTGGACAATTGCATGATAATGAGAATGGGTACATATTTAATAAACATTTTCCCAACTAAGAGATCTGGTCATTTTCAATATAATCAAAATCATTTTACACACTGGCCACTCTCCAAAATTAAATTAAACATTTATCAATTCTATTTCAAAATAAAGTTGCCTCATTTTCATATCTTTCTAAAATTTGATATATGCTTAGGGAAATGTTGAGCATGTTTACCACCTTCAGCAAAAAGTACTTATCGTTATGTTTGTATATAAACAACACCAATATAATGGAATTCCTACTTGCACATGTATACGTTAATTCCCGCCATTCAGCTTGTAGCTAGAAAATCCAAGAAACTTGGAAAGAAAGATATGAAGTTATGAGAAAAAATAAATAAAGTTCAAGTTTGTATTTGTTTGTTTTCGAATATTTCTTTTCTCCATACTAGCTACTTCATACAACAAATATAAACCAATATTAAAGTTCCTGATTCTTCAAACGAAATTTACCCTAAATCATATGATGATTTCACATACCTGATAAGTATTTTACAATCACAAATGAGATAAAAGAATAGAATAGTCTATCCAACAAATAAAAGTTCCAAAACTCACCATTTTTGAAGTATAGTATTGAAAAGTACACCTAGATCAGAAAATTATAAACTTGATGTATTCCTGACATAGCTGTAAAATAACTATTGTCTAATAAGACAGTATTATATCATCTTCCAATCGCCTTATAACGCAATCCTGTTGATATATCCTATATTATTTCTATGTCCTGCGCTCACTAATTCTCAAGAATTACTAACAGCATAGTGTCATATGCCAGCAGCATCCAGGCTTTGTCAGAATTGATCAGGTATATGAATTCTGAAGAGCTCTACGTTCAGGTTGATTTAATCAATACAGCCCATGGTTGCTTGCCAACTTACATTGTACGCCACCACAAGATTCACTATACCGCCAGCATTGACTTCTACAAGTGTTTTAATCAATAGACTAGTTGCCAGCTATATAGCATTTATTGAATCATAAACATGCTGTATACTATATTTTGTTTATACTGGTACCAAAACCTTTGTTCTTTTTACACTAATCTTACAATTTTTACACTAATTTAACACTTTTTACACTAATTTAACACCTTTTAAACTAAACTGTAAATAAACACAGTCAGTTGCCTATTAAAGAGAAACTAAAACTTAGTTCTGTTTTGCTTAAATAGGTGGCCTTCTGGCCGGGTTATCTTTTTAACACAGAATTCTGTGAATAATTTGTGTATGGTCAAAATTCTGCACATTTTTAGTATAATGTGGGAAACATAAATCATCTTGTGTTGACAAAGATATATGCTGGCTCCTGAGCATCTTATAAACATATAAAGGATTTATGCAGACCTCCCCCACTAAACAAAAAATTTAAAACAAAACGTACATATAAACTTGTACATTCGAACACCTCTCATGCGAATGCTTTCTTTCTCAATGTCCCATTAATAAAAACTGACGTAAACTTCAATATTAAAAAACTCTATATATGAACATCTGCCAAGGGCTTATTTAATTCTACTGTACATATTGAATATATAGAAATTAACAGCTAGAATTCATTTGAATTAAATTCCATTAATTCGCGCTGAGATACTTGCGATATAAGATATCCCAAACCATTGTTTGACAATCATAAATATGATGATTATTCTATATAATTTGCAAAATCAATTTTATGGTGCCTGTAAATTAAGGAAAAATTTCCAATTTGTCCAAGAATTAGGCCACTTGGGTTACTAAATTCACTTAGAAATGGAATCCAATATAAATATACTCAAGTCAGAGTTGTTAATAAGTAAATTCGAGTGAATTATGATATCAAGAATGGAACTACTAACAATTTGTATGCAAATTCATTCAAGTTCATGCATTAATTGGCAAAAATTGATTAACATACATGTACATCAGTTTGAATATGGTCAAAGGACCAAGTATAGTATGGTATGTGATTTTACCATGAGTATTTTCTAGCTATAAATACAGCAATTTTATTTTCATCTGGATGGTTTGCCATATGAGATACATTGTTACTTTTCAAAAAATGTTAGGCTTATTTTCTAAAAAGAGGATATTATTTTTCTCAATTTAATATCATGAAAGTTCTTTTATACCACATTAACAACTGAAAAGGAATTGGGTACTGAAAAGCAATAAAGTTAAAAACCACATATCCCATGTTATTTACCCATAAGGAAAACTTGTGCTATCCATTGTTTTCAGCATAATTTTGATCATTGAAAATTGATCTTCAAAACTAGACTTTCAATACCATTCTACTTTTGAAGACGTTTTAAACCCCTTGTTGAATAATCTTCTCATGCAAAAAAAAACAGAAAAAGATTTTTAATAAATAGGTAAATGGGTCCCTATTCATAATTTTTCAAATTGTTCGATTGATATTTTTTATTATTCTTGATAATTTACTTCAAAGATAACATATTGTGCTAATGAGAAATCTCATATTTAAATTGAGAAAGTACTCATGGTAAAAGATATGACCGTCTAAAATCACTTTCCATACTAAACCTGGTCCTTTATGTAGGAAATCTTAAATTAAGCCTGTTGGCACTTATTGTCTTCCGAGAACCTAATACTTAAGTTCATATGCAGTTTTCATCATAAAAATGCAATTTTTTAGTTACTTTTATTGCATATTTCATTAATAATTACAAGGTTCAAGACAGCGATACTACAGAGCTATACATTTTAATAGATTTAAGTTTTTCAAATTTAAATTGGCATTAAAAATTTAAATATTTTGGAACCTTTTGATTTTACCTGTAGTAAGAAACATGGCATTAACATGGCAAAATGTCAGTCCAAGTTGCTCACAATATCATGATTTCAATTTAAGTCAGATTTGAATTTCTGAGAAAGGACGATTCTCGGTTTGGAGAATGAAGTTCATCAATCTAAATGAGCATTATCCCTGCTTCGGACAAATTTGATTTTTTTACATAATATAGATTTGAATGTCTTCTTTTGGATAGTCATAATTTAATTTGGGTAATATTTATAGATTTTTCGCAAAAAAATATTAGCGCAGTACACTATTGAACTTCTTTCCCCAAATCGAGACTTGTATTTTATTGAATCGGTCTAATTGACCATTATCCCTGCTTCAGACCAATTTGTTATTTTTACATCTTGTATATTTAAATGTTCTCTTTTGAATATTCTAAGTTTAATTTGGGTAATATTTCTATATTTTTCATGAAAAAAATTATTAGCCCAGGAGACTATTCTCCAAACCGAGAATCGTCCTTTGATCAATTGATCAATCAATTTGAAACAAGTTGATAAATACTTTTTTTGACCTTGAGAGGGTCATTGAAGGTCAAATCCCAAATCTAAAGTCAAATTTGAATTTCTGAGAACTTGTAGTTGATTTTGAAAAAACAATTTGGTCAATTTGAAAAAAAATACATTTTTGACATTTTTTTTAACCTTGAGAAGGTTATTGAAGGCCAAATGTCAAATCAGATTTGAACTTCTGATCATGCTGATTTTGAAAAAAATTTGAAATCAGTTTAAACACTATTTGTTAAGTTATTGGAAGTTTTTAGGATTTGTTACCACCAACCACCAACCACCGTCACGAATAAACAGAGACAGTTACAATATGTCACAACTTTTGGTGGTGACATAATAACTAGTACATCACAGGAGCAAATATGATAAATAGATAAGTGAAAGAACTAAAACAATAAAATTGTAATATTGTTGGTGGAAGTTGCCTGATCAATCTATGTAGTAATTAACAGACAGTGACATCTATTCACATCAACATAATCAATTAGAACAAACACAGAAATGCTGATATGTTAAATCATGTAAGTTTATCAATCAAGGAGGAAATAGTAAACTTGTTTAATTGTGGCATTTCATGCAGAACTACCAAACTTGTGATATACAGAAATGTTTTAGGTTTATCGATAAAGGAGGTAATAGTATATACTTGTTTTCTTGTGGAATTACATGAAGAAGTACCAAACTTGTGATATAAATACATACATGTGTGATGGTATTATTAAAAATGAAGCCAACTTTGAACTTTGTGCAAATATCATTGAAGACTTTGATCCTTTGGGCCTGAGTCATTTTGATCCCCCTTGTGCACGCTTCAGTACTCATGATAGGAACAATGACGTTGTTGTGGATGTGAACTGTGCTGAGATGTTTGGAGGAGGAATGTGGTATACAAACTGCACAGAATTAAATGCAAATGGCTTTATTGGAAATCGCAACACTGATAAAAATAGGAAATGGAAGAAAACTAAAAATAATGACTATTCTTTCACTAAAGGTAGGATATATATGAGATTTACCATCAGTAACAATAGTAACTATTTAGCTAAATACATTGAGTTTTAACAGACATTCCTTCAAAAATTATTTAACAAAAACATGCATTTCTGAAGGATAGGTATCCAGGGCTTGCATTAACGGCGTCCCGTACATGTTAAGGACTCAAAAATAATTTGGAGGACGCAAAAATTGAAAATATTTCCATTTTTTGGACGCAAATTTTTTTTAGGTCAATACTACAATGTGTTTACAACGATACCTAACAAAAACAAATAATTATGATCTCTCACCTTTATTTGAATCGTAAATAAGGCTCAACATGTTGAATATTTACAAATAATCATGATTCTCTCGAATTTTTTCGACTTTGTTATTCATGAAATAAAATGTATTCATTGTCGAATGAACGAACATGCATTTATTCAGTCCGAACTTAACGTTTACTTCCGTTTTAAATTAGCGGCAAGAAATCAAAACATGGCTTTTATTAGTTTGTCCCCGTAAACATTGTATATGTTATCATTGTATACGTAAGTTAATAAAAGTAACATTGGAAAGATGTTTCACTGACCTATTGTTGTGTTGAAGCAAAGACAATCATGTGACAAAATTAACTTCAAGGTATTTTGGTAAAAAATGCTTTTAAAATAAAGTTATACCTCAAAACAGGCTAGAAATAGGGGACACACTTTTTTTTTCAAAGGACACACTTTTAAAAAAAAATTGCGTCCTTGGGACTCACAAATTTTCTAACCTAATGCAAGCGCTGCGGTATCGATACGATGAACTGAATTCAACAATGTTTTTTCTCTTAGACCAATTATTGAAAACATTTTGTAAAAACACGGTCCTTTACGTAATGATGACTGATTGACGTGAAAATTTGTTTATATTTTATATAACTGTTTTTGTTAACATTTTTCGTTTTTTAGTGCAATTGTTTTTCTTGAGAATGAAATAAAATGTCTTTCTAAACCTTGTTGGAACAAAATAGCATTAACAACATTTTGTTAGACCTCTCAATATTATATAGTTATATAAATTTCAGGGTTGATTTAACAAAAAGTATTCAAAGAATTAAAACAAAACTCCCAAAAGTAGATAAAAATTAAGATAAACCTTTTGTTTCATTAACAAGATACTTTTTTAAAATCAACCAATCTTTCCTTTGTACAATTACAATATTGAGCTAGAGACCTAATCAAGTTATATTTATGCCGTTTTGTTCCAATGAGGTTCGGATAGATGTTTCATTTCATTCCTAACAGTCTGATGTGTTTTCTAAAACAGTATAGAGAAAAGTATTTATATTTTTATCAAAATATATTGTTACCGTTCAAAAGATGACCATTAAATTGACAATATTTTGACAAATTTATTTGATGACTGGTTTAAGAGAAACCTGAGACCATGTTAGTCTCAGGAGAAACGTGGGTTCA